TTACAGTATCAGTTTCGTTAGCAATTAGTTGAAAATACAACGATTTAAAGGGTGCATGGATATTTTGGTGATTTTTGTTATTAACAGTTATAAAAAAAGTCTTGCTCCAAAGATTTCTTACTAATATTTGAATTATTCAATTACTATTTGGAGAAACTATAAAAAAACGCAATATATATCAAAACTATTTATAAACATATTTACAACAATCACTTTCTATAAGGCTTCTGTATATTAGTCGAAGAACCAACGTCATTTTCAGAACGAAACTAAATAGTTTTCCTTAATTGCTTTTCTAGAGTTTCCTATGGCAAATCAAGTAAAATCAATTTGGAAATAATCAATCAATGCCAAAAGTAGGACAGAACATGAATTTTAACATATAAAATTAAACAAAACCTACATATGATAAACGAATAGTGTCTACTATTGTAGAAAAAATATAAAAATGGTAAAAAAATATTTTGATACTAACTAATTTTTATCAGTGGTTGTTTCTTTTTCCAATCTTAACTTTTTCGTTACGGCAGTGTTTTCCGCAGGAGTGACACTACTGTACAGAACAGCGAGCCGCCCAATAGTAATTGGATGTAGAAGTAAAGCATCTATTTTAAGTCAGCAATGTTTGGCCATAAAACCACGAGTTAACTCGGGACCGGTCAGGTCAACAAAGTGTAAAGATTTTTCAATCATCAACAAAAATGTAATTAAAAATTAATAATTTTAGTTCTGAAGTACTAATAATTATAATAACAGCTTAGAAATCTATCGATAACTATACTCTGATATTGAGAAAAAAATAAACTTGTGCAATTTTCAAGTAAAAACTCCACCACTGCTTGATATTACGGAGTTTCCAATCATCAACAAAAATGTAATTAAAAACTAATAATTATACTTCAGAAGTACTAAAAATAATAGTAACAGCTTAGAATTCTCGATAATAACAATATTGAGAAAAAAATAATAATTTATGAAATTTTTAAGTGAAAACTGATTCCACTACTGCTTGATATCACGTAGTTGTACCTAGCGGAGTATTGATTAAACTCGGAACCTTGTAGTTGCAAAGCCGATGCTCTTAAGATCAATCCTTAGTTTATATCTCATTCGGATTAAATTCAATTGTTTATCCAGATTAATTATACAAATGGAATAATAGCACACGTTATCTTAGTTATTGTTAGTTCATAACCTTGACTGAGACAATAAGTATTGCATAACTGGCAGAGAGATAAACACTATTTGAATATACACTGAAGCTATAAGTTCACAACAATGAACACAATGCCAGACGAAGGTTCCGTTCGAGCAACTATTTACTGAAATGGAGCAAACTGTACATTTGTCATATATAGCTGCTTAAACTCTAACAGAGATGAGATATTCAGGCTTAGGCAGAAGTGTAAAAAAAACGAGAGTAATTAAACTTCCTAATGCAACGAAATTTTTAGATCAAATTGACAGCAAAGGAAGAAAATAAATTCTTAATGATTTATTTTGAGACTACCCCATTCAGATGCCGCCGGTATGCATCTATGCGATTTTGAAATGAAAAGAAAACAGCATTGGACTCGTATTACCAAATATATGTTGACTTCAACGCTCGAAATTCAAATTAATAATTCCAATAAACAAATATTACAATCTATACTTGAAATATCACACCTAAAATATATTAAGTTGTATTTCAGTCTTATTTAATAATAAACTTATGAAGTCCTTAATATCTTTTTGTATTTAATTATTTTATTAATTCAAGAAGGAAGTATGATTGCTATTGCAAAACGAAAAGCAAACAAATGAAATTAACTATCAAATTAATCTCTATTCAGGCTAATTTCGATTAAAACTATATAAGATAAAATTTTAAATTTCACGTCCATTGATTTAAAAATTTAAAAATTCCAGAATGATTTAAACATGTACATGTACATTGTAGTATCCAATTTTATATTACCAAATTATACAGAAAGTTTCTTTGAAGAAAGGATTTAATTAGAAAGGAGGCATGTGAAAACGTACAGTTGGCTCAATCTCAAACAAATATAAGTAATTATGTCAAGCGTTCCTATAAATAAAATCATAATAAGCGCATGGATGTTTACTTACGGAGTTCTGCTTTTGGTTTGATTATTAATGAACAAAGTGCTTAAGAAGAAACAAATTTGTATGTTGAGCAGAAATATCTATAATATTCTTAGAATAATCAGAAAAATATTAAATGATTTGTTATAAACTGCAAAGACAAAATTGACAAACATCAAAATGATATCTACTTATGTAGATAACTATGGTTAAAATGAAACTATATATAGTTTCAAGTGCAAACCGATGCCACAACTTCTTGACATCAGGCTGCCCGAAGCAGATAGTTTCTGATTGAAAACAATAGCAATAACTACTAGACTATGATAAAGACGGACGAAAACAAATTTAATAGACTCAATACAATAGTCGAAAATAAATTATCTAGTTCATGTTTTACCACCTTAATTTATTTAAGATATAATTTAGTACATTAATAACAGGTGAACCACTGGGTTTTCCTTTTAAAATTCTATGTTATTTGTCACATTAATTACTCAATGTCTTTCTATTTAGACAGATTATAATTTATGAGAAAATAAAATAAAAAAAGTGTTATCACAGGTACTTACTACTTACTGAAAATTAAATGTGTAGTACCCAAAGGCAAGTCATTGGGATTTTCTATTGAAAACCTCTAATAATTAACAAACTAATTAATCTATGTCTTTCTATAGACAGATTGTAATTTAGAAGAAGAAAAATATCTCAAAATAATGCAAACATTTTAGCAACAATGAGGTGTCAAAGCCAAACACAAGAGTTGAAAACCTTTAACACAACAACAAGAAGGAATTCGAGAGGTTCAGTTTAGATGCCAAACCAGGTACAAATTTTAAAATGCAATTCCAAGCCTACAAGATGGGAATAGATGAAGTATCAAGTAGATCAGTGGATATATTTTTTTTAATAGTTTTACATAAATAAAATAATACTTGCTTTCAAAACAAGTATTTAATTGCAAAAACCGAATATTCTTTTTATTAGAACCCTTGCTACAACTCGAACAATTTTTAGAGAATCGTCTTTATTCCAAAAGGATGGACATGTCATCTTATGCAATCTTCCAAATTGTTAATCCTTTGATGATGACAATCGTTTTCTTTTCTATTTGATATTATGCTTTCTGCAATATTATATACATATATCTTTTTGCAGATTCTTGGAATTTATTAATGAAATATAGTATTTTTTAGCCAAAATCACTTTCCTGGTTTTAGACATTTAGAAAACTCATCGATTAAAATCAATCTAAGTTATTAATTAGTTATAATAGAAGTTTCGTAAATTGTTAGTTAAAATTACATAATTTTGCAAAGTGCGGGAATATAAACCAGTCATTTTTGATTATGTAAGTACCATTTGCAAATAAGTAACTTTATCAAAAAGTACTGAGTCAATTTCGAATAATTCATTATTGGAATTTGGAAATATTCATTATTGGAATTTGGAAATATTCATTATTGAAAATATTCATTATTACAAACATTTCGACATATGATCTTATGTTATATCTTCAATATTGTACATTCCTTGATGATTACATTAGCTCACAGTCGAAACATGTGAAAAAATAAGCAGTCCCTAACAATCGAATTCGTTTCTACTTGATGTAAAGCGTTCTAAGATTTTATACATATATTCAACATCTGTGAAAAACTATCCCATAGGTGTATTTCAAATTTTCAGAACATTAATCAAACAAAAAGAAAATTATTTTAGAGTCACTTAACTTTTCCAATAAAAAGTCATGTAAAAACTCTCTAAAATAATTTTATTGATATATTGTCTTGGACATTTGCATGACATTTGGTACATATGATGTAACGCCAAAATTGTTACAAAAATCAACATTTTTTACCAATTAGAACATAACGAGTCTTATTATCTGTGTTGTGGAGAATTCTTCAGCGATATGGCAAACTAAACGGTTGTCCAAGTCTATGTGATGAATTTATCACCACAACTTCAATAATATTGAATTTTTTTTATTGGTGCAGCAATGCCGGTAAAGGCTATTTGTACTTAGATATATATTGCTATCTATATTTCCACGTGTGAACCGATGTTACTACTGCTTGACATCGTTACAGCAAAACTGTAGAATTAATTAGCTATTAGCTATAGTAAGGAATTCTCCTACGATTATAGATGGCAACCCAAACGGTTGACCAAGTCTATGTGATGAATTTATTACCACAATTCCTATAATTTTGAGGAATTTTTTTATTGATGCAGCAATGACGTAATTTAGGTACCATGCACGGTAATTTTGACGGTTGACCAAGTCTATGTGATGCATTTATTACCACAATTTCTATAATAATGAGGAATTTATTTATTGATGCAGAAATGACGTAATTTTGGTATCACCATATGCGGTAATTTTGAATATAATCATATATAACCAAGGGCGAGGGGGGGGTCCAAAAATCCTTAAAAACTCGCTCACGAGATTAATGGACGCCCCCTAAAGGCTATTTTTCATTTGGAAACATATTGCTGTATATATTTCCAAGTGTAAACAAATGTTACTACTGCTTGAAATCAAGCAGTATTAAATCTGGAACTTCTGATCGAAACCCCATAGTTCTAACTATTAGACCACGTGTGAGCCAACATAGAATTAAGGTAAAAACTTTGTAATGAATTTAATTTCTAATCTGTATTTATATATATAGTCTATCAGTATTATTTATCAATTTTTAGCAATAACATCTAATAAAACCCCGAAAAATGTTTTTTGAATCGTCCATGTGCTTTGAAACCATATATGACATGTGTTTTTGCAACTAGACCTGGTGCAAACAAATTATGCTTACAAAATTAAATAGTCAATAAAAATAATAAAATTAAACACATAAAGCCAATGAAAATTAAATAAGTAGTATATAATGAAGAAAAATTCTAACCTTTTATTTGCGGCACCAATCAGACCAGCTGTATATCCAATTTATATAAAACCTTCCCACGTGCGTTAACAAAATAAATAATTTATACACAAACTAATTAATAAAACTCACTTTTTGACAGATCACTAAAAAATCACACTAATACAAAACTCGTCGAAAATTTTCACCGGCTTATATAAATCTCACATAAAATTTCTATTCAAAAAAATTAATTCCCGATATTATTTCTAGTTCCTCGACACGACCGACTCACTCGGAATTTACGGAGCGACTGAATCATACGGAATGTTTTGTTGTCAAAACTCTCCCTCCATCGCACCATCGATGGCGTAATACGTTCGACTGTTTTCGTTTCAGTAGGTCAGACATCGGATGTCTTCGTTATGATCAACAGATGGTTTCCGGTTTCCGTTTCGTGAGCGGAAGTAAGGAGTTGTATAGGAGATTTCGAGAAATTTCAACATCGAAAGTTTGTTGAATACACTTCGTATTGAAAACGATTCATGAGAGAGGATTAAATGTAATGGATGTAGACAACTACATCCATTCAAGTGCTTCTCACATTGAAAAGTAAATGAGATAAACTTGGTTTAAGTGGCATTTAGCCTTAAGACAAATTGCTTAAAAAATCTGATATATGTAGATTATTGAGTTGTATAGAAGATTTCGAGGAATTTCAACATCAAAAGTTTGCGAGAGGATTAAATGTAGACAACTGCATCCACTCAAGTTCTTCCCACATTGTAAAGTAAAGGAGATAAACTAGGTTTATCTCATTTACTTTAAATTACTTTAAATTTTGCCTTAAGACAAGTTGCATAAACTTGCCTTAAATAAAAACTTTCTGATATATGTAGATAATTAATCAATCAATTATCACTGGGTTGTAGAAACTTGTCAATTTGTTTGACAGATAGATTTTTAAAATAGTTGTTTCAAAAATAAAGTTTCGCTCTTCATTAAAATTTCTTATTCAAGAATTAATGAATGAAACTAATCAATTAATGACAATTTTGGCTATTACGACTGGAATGAGTCAGAGATCCCGGGTTCGATCCAACTTCCAGACAGGAGTGACAATGGTTTTCACTTGCAAACATAGATAGCAATTTTTTTTTTAATAATTTTATTTGAACAGCGATCAGAATTTATGGGTTCTATGAGCTGTTGTGATTAATATCTTACAAACTACGTTTGTTTTATTTGGCAACCCAAACAGTTGTCACATCTCTGTGACATTCGATTCCTATTGACATTTTTTGCAAATGCAGGTTCAACCGTATGTATCTAAGATACAGAAGGCAAAATGTGCAAAAAAGGCAATTCAGTTCTTGAGAGAACGGAGACACCGATTTGAATGATTCAAATAACATTGAACTTGTATTGATGAAATGAGGAACTGATAAATTTTTAGAAAGGCAGATACAGCAGTTTCGGAAATCCGATAAAAAAAGTAAGCAAAATCCATTTGGCGGTCAAAAATAATCATTAGACATCAAAATATCAGATATTTTATAGAGGTTTTAATAATTAGTACAAATTTTGTTTACATTTCAATGGGTTCCGTACCAAGAATTATAATGTTTAACACATAGTCTGCAACGCGGCGCTCACGCGCTCGATAACTTCGTCTTTAAAACAGCTGCATAGCGCGATTGCTTTGAACAAAATTCAAAATCGAAAAAAATCGAGTTTTTTTTTTAAATTAAATTTTGCAAAAAGTCAAATTATTTAAAAAATATTACAATTCTCAAAAATTTAATTTTTTCAAAATTTTCAAAAAAATTTAAAACTTTTTAAAATTTTAAATTACTGTACTGGAAGTTCCAGCAATTTGCCTTAAGGCACAATGCCATACACCACTACCTCATTCTACATTCTATATCGTAATAAACATACGATATAAAGCTCTTCGATATGAAAAGGTAATAAGCAATTGCATTGCGCGGTTCTTCAATTCTTGATATTATACATCGTCAATTCATTATCATTATTATTACATTATTTTGTGAGTATGTATACTCACAACAGAATTTTATATCTTCGTATTTGTATCAGTTCATACCTGGTTTCTATACAATAGCCTTGTAGCGACATTATAACAGTAATATATAATTGCTTTACTTGTTTGTCACAGCACGTAACTCATAGTACTCCGTTATCTTGCACAATGCATTTATTATGCATTCTTGTTTGCATTGCCGACGGTGGTCGAAATATTAACGACGACCAAGACTGTTTGTGACTTGCACTCGATATTTTGCACAGAATCTTCCATTTATCTTCAGAGTCATAGATTGAAGGAAACAGGATACCAGATTTTCATTATAAAAAAAACAATTATAAAAGCAGAATAGATTGATTGATAGCATTGGTCCATCCTAACCAATTAGCAAGTTATGAAATACTTGAGAAATATTAAATTATTTTGTCAAAACAGGCAAAATGTTTTTTGGATCATTCAAATCGGATACTCTGTCCTCTCAAAAGCTCGATTTTTATTGTCTGCATTCTTTGCTCCGTATCTCCGTAACGGCTGGACCTGCCTTTGTCAAAAACTAATCAGCACATCTTCCTATCAATAGGGATCGAATGTTTTTTAAACCATTTAAATCGGTTGATCCGTGCGCCCAAAAACGTGAACGAAAAAATGCGGACACACAAAAACACACACACATTTATCCATTTTTTCTGAGGTATGCCAAAATGTTGAGAAACCTTCAAAACGTGGAGAAATGCAAAAATTTTCATTTTCAATTTTCGGACTACCCTACGGGAAGTTAATAAAAAACATTCTTATTTTAAAAAAGAAACCAGACTTATTAATTTTATGAGCTGTTGTGATGAAAATTTTCCTTACGCGTTTTATTTTTAACATTCTGAAGAAGTTTGTTTTCGCCAGAAAATCTGATTTGCTGATTTTATGTTTTCTCGACCATCAATCATTCTGAATCGATTGAGACCAAAACTAGAAAAAGCGTGTTTGTATTTGTAAGTAGCTTTCAAAAACTTAAAGACATTTTATGCAACTCGTTCAGGTCTCACATTACTAGTTTTGTAGAACTTTCAGCCCAATCATTTTAAAGAATTACCACAATTTTTCCATATATACTATTTTTTTCAATTTTTTTTCATAATTACAACCTGTCGGGTAAGAAAAAAATCAACGGTTAAACAGTGGCGTAACTATAGGGTGGCGTGGGTGGCAAAATGCCACGGGCCCCCGGCCCAAGGGGGCCCCGGCTCAAGAGGACGCGTGCTCAGAAATATTGTTTCTACATTATACTCTAATACTTTATTTCATTTGAAAAGTATGTTTTCGTAAGAATCAGGGGCGTAACTACCGCCGTATCAGCCATATCAAATATACGGGGCCCCCAAACCAGGAGGCCCCCAACGTCCGTAAGAAACATTAATAATATAAAAAAATCATGAAAAACGAATTAATCATGAAAACTTCGTTCAATCAAATTTAATGTCGTTAAAAAAGTACGCGAGGAATGTAAGATTATTATTTTAAAGAGTTTTATTTTGTCCAGGCCACGGGGGCCCCAAATACGCGTAAAAAAAGTACGCGAAGAATGTAAGATTATTATTTTAAAGAGTTTTATTTTGTCCAGGCCACGGGGGCCCCAAATACGTGTAAAAAAGTACGCGAGGAATGTAAGATTATTATTTTAAACAGTTTTATTTTGTTCAGGCCACGGGGGCCCCAAATGCGCGTAAAAAAAGTACGCGAGGAATGTAAGATTATTATTTTAAAGAGTTTTATTTTGTCCAGGCCAAGGGGGCCCCAAATACGTGTAAAAAAAGTACGCGATGAATGTACGATTATTATTTTAAAGAGTTTTATTTTGTCCAGGCCACGGGGGCCCCAAATACGTGTAAAAAAGTACGCGAGGAATGTAAGATTATTATTTTAAACAGTTTTATTTTGTTCAGGCCACGGGGGCCCCAAATGCGCGTAAAAAAAGTACGCGAGGAATGTAAGATTATTATTTTAAAGAGTTTTATTTTGTCCAGGCCAAGGGGGCCCCAAATACGTGTAAAAAAAGTACGCGATGAATGTACGATTATTATTTTAAAGAGTTTTATTTTGTCCAGGCCACGGGGGCCCCAAATACGTGTAAAAAAGTACGCGAGGAATGTAAGATTATTATTTTAAACAGTTTTATTTTGTTCAGGCCACGGGGGCCCCAAATGCGCGTAAAAAAAGTACGCGAGGAATGTAAGATTATTATTTTAAAGAGTTTTATTTTGTCCAGGCCAAGGGGGCCCCAAATACGTGTAAAAAAAGTACGCGATGAATGTACGATTATTATTTTAAAGAGTTTTATTTTGTCCAGGCCACGGGGGCCCCAAATACGTGTAAAAAAGTACGCGAGGAATGTAAGATTATTATTTTAAACAGTTTTATTTTGTTCAGGCCACGGGGGCCCCAAATGCGCGTAAAAAAAGTACGCGAGGAATGTAAGATTATTATTTTAAAGAGTTTTATTTTGTCCAGGCCAAGGGGGCCCCAAATACGTGTAAAAAAGTACGCGAGGAATGTAAGATTATTATTTTAAACAGTTTTATTTTGTTCAGGCCACGGGGCCCCAAATGCGCGTAAAAAAAGTACGCGAGGAATGTAAGATTATTATTTTAAAGAGTTTTATTTTGTCCAGGCCAATCTAACAAATTTTGGTTTTATTTCACTAATAACAAAAGTTAGAATAAACATGAAAATTTTCTTCTAAATAAATTTAATTTCGAAAAAAAACATGAGCGTGTAAGAATGTAAAAATAATTTTAGAGTGTTGTGATTTTTTTTAATATTTTCTTTAATATTTATGAAGCTCTATAGTATGCAAATAATGACTAATAGAAAACTTACTTTTTATTAAGTCATTTCTTGAATAGATTATGCGAATTAAAAAATTAAAATTAATTTAGTAGTTTGTTCAAAAATTAGCAAAGGAATGGATTGTAAAGACTGTTTGTAAAAACAAAATATCAAACTTAACATGTAGCTTATAAAGCTAATTAAAAATTTAAAAAAAAATATGTTTGATTTTCAAAACAAAGCAGTAATTGTACTTTTAAATTATTAATTTTGACTTATAATTATTTTTATTTTTATGGTTTTTTGTACTTATACATTTTAATTTTGTTTT